ATTGGAACATACAAGTTTACTTCCGATTCATTTGGGTATTGTACATATACACTTATTCATTCACTTATTCTGGATTCTTTTATAAATACAGCAGTGAACTTTAATTTCATAGTAAACAAATATTATAGCAAATAAAGAATGAAGTCTTGGGACAAATTAAAATATCATTTGAAATAAAAGTTATCATTTTGAATTGTTTTCAATTTAATAGATCAAGTACAAGCAAGCTTACCCAGTCAAACGGCTTTCTACGGCACTTTATGGTATTTATCTAGCGCTTACAAACTATAGGTGACTGAATACAATCAAATCACCTAGTTAAGAGAAGTATATACAATATTTATTTGTGTAAATTATTCGTGCCTTCTTGGTTAATTAACAAATGCGGCAATCCCGAAGAAAAAATTAACTTATTTAAAACAACTTGGTTTTATAATTCTCGTTAACCACAGGCACCACAGACTAGAATTTAAGGGAAAGCAATGTAGAGTATTTAGTATGTGTAGAAAGCGACCTTTAATATTGGAAGATCTAGTTTTTAAAAGCTTGCCCTTAGTTTCTTAAACTGGTAAGAACTTTAGTGGTTCTAGTCTGTTGGCTAGTTGGGCAATTGAATAATTCACCATAAAATCATAGCGAAATAATTGGTTTTCCAAAGAAATACTTATTTTTGAATTGCTTAAAAGAAAAACATTATCGAATATTAAAGTCACTTCATAAACGTAAACAGTATTTTAAGCATGAAAAATATAATATTTGATTATTGATAAATGCAGATAATATTACTCATACGCCTTGTATACCTGTTGTAATTTTTTTGTAAACCCTATTACTGATCAAAGGCAAATCAAAATTAATTTTAAATTCTGAAATAAAAATACAAATACTAATCATGATGCTCTTCATTCTTAAAAGGAAATCGTTTCACATATTTTTGCCCTGAACATGGTATATTAAATTTACCATGATGTTTGTAACACCCAAAAGGAAACGACGGAGACTCTATAAAGGATATATATAAATGATCAGCGTTATTAGCTGAGTCCATTTAGCCATGTCCGTTTTTTCTTAAGATTTTCCAAAGATTGAAAGGGTGTTATCATCGACAAAGAAGTGTACTGATCATTTAGTTATGTTGCGAGGCTATAAATATACGAGTATAACGAATGAAATCCTTTTAAATATTATTATTATTAAAATATTATAAAATTGCAAAAGTATTTTATTTTCATATATTTAGTGCAAGTTTGAGTACTACATTAAAGAGAAATAGTTTTGACTATTCCCACAATAAATTGCGTCTTCTAGTTGAAATAGTAAGCCATATTAGTAAGCTACTTCTCTATATAATTGATCCATTCCTATTCACAAGCAACACGTGAGTAGGCTTACGTAGTTACACAAGGAGTTTCCGAAGCCAATCATATTTTGCAGCAATACTGTCAAGGCTACAATCAAGTCATTCAAAATATAATAACATTGACATAAATTGGCTCGTTTGACATTGTTCAAAGTGGTGTTGTACATTGCTTTATATGATTTACATCTGTATAATCGGTAATATATGGTCACAAAAACATTATATAGTAATAATTAGTGACGCAGGTAATTGATTGATTCGTTGGTGTATGTTGTACGGATTGTACAAAATATCAATAAAGGTGTCAAACATCCAATAAAGAAAAAAAAACCTATCGATTTTTATATTAAGGAATAATTTATTATTTCTTTCTTTAATTTCTACGATTATAGCTACATTTTTATTATCTTATAAGAATGTTTTATTGATTGTTTCAGACAACTCCAACAATTATGTTTTGAAAATGTCATCGGTATCACCAAAAATGCTTGTGTCAAGTCTAAGTTCATAGAATTCCATGAATACAATTTTTGCAAAAGTATTTTCTTTAAACTTTTATAAACGTTGCTTTGAGCTCCAAACAATATGTAAATAACTATACAAATATTTCTTTCTATTTAGAGTGCATAGAATCCACATGAGTGCTTCATCTAAATAGGAGTATATTTTCCGAAGCACTTTTTGCTACTTTTCCATAATTCCTGCAAACTTTTTGGTTTGGCGTCCGTCACATTTTTTTTTTCAAATCCATCCAGAGGCCTTCGATTGGATTAAGGTCCAGAGACCACACCGACCATTAAATTAATATTTTTTCTATGATTCCACTCTTGTGGATAGATCCATCGTAATGGCATAACCCTCCCGACGTAAATTAAAACTAGGTCTTCCTGATTGTTTTTAACATAATAAATGGTATTCATAGTTCCTAAGGCCCTTGTTAGAGACCCAACACCACTCCAAAAAAACATCCTCATAACATCAGCTTGTTTGTGTCTTCTCCTCTTTTCAGCATTCAGCGACCAATTTTTGCATTTTAATATCATTCCATATGTAAGTCCCGAATTCTGCCTTCTATAGACAAGCATTTTCCTTTCTGAAAACACTTTTTTAATAATCTCCTTTTGCTCAATTAAAAAAATATCGAGCTGCTCTCTGCCTTAAATGTTTGTTAAAAAAAAGGTTTAATAAAATAATTTTACAAAAATTTTATTTATGGATTTCCATGTTCGCTTTGGTTGTTCTTGTATATTAAATATATGTATATCAAATATAATCAAATCTTGATATAGATAGAAAAAGAATTCAACATACGACTAAAAAACAAAAATAAAATGTTGAATAATAATTTTAATGTATTAATAATAACAAGAGAACAAACATATCTTTTTAGTCAAATATTGTGGAATGGCTTTTGACGTGCCAGCTTGCTCAGCTGCACTAACAATAAAACATAATATTGAATAAGCTCCAGTGAATATCGATTTTAATCGGTGTAACAAAATAGATACCGGCATTTTGTATTCTTTTTATCGGAAATATTGGTATGGCATTTGCGGTTTCCAATCAACTACATTTTAGTTACCTAAATTGCTAGTTGAATGCTGGTACCAAAAAGCTGAAAAATAAACTAGTTTTGCGCAAAAGAAATTTCCCAAGGCACTCACAAAACAAGGATAGTAGGGATAAAAAGTAATAAGTCTGATGTAAGCAAAACTTGAGGAACATTTCGAATGGACTCTAAGGGATTCCAAAGGTGACCACTTTTGATGGGTAGTTTTTTTTAGACAGTAGCAGAATGTGTTATTTGGATGATAAAAATCTGAAATAAATATTTTCAAACATACAAAAATTTTGTTTAATCGCAAAATATTGTATGTATTTGAACATGCATAAGTAAAAATAAGATAAATATTTGCCGATATACACTGGGCGTTACCAGTTTCAACTGCTCTTAACTATTCTTCTATTGCACGCAAATTCGTAATTATTGTTGTTGCTTTTAAAGCGACATACTCTCATTTTAATTTTTTTCTGTTTATATTTATTTAATTTTTTCTTTTAATGAAAAAGCCTGCATGCGTTTTGCATTGTCTGATTAGTGTCTCCAAATACAATTTTAATTATCTCGCATAATTTGTCAACCGTAGTCACCAAATTGTTTTTGGTGCTTAACTGATGAGTTTTTCTTCAAATTGATGTACAATATGAGAAAAGGAATTCGTTTATCTGTATAGAAGCGTTTTATGAGTGTGGGTGTCTTTTCATAAAATTGCATAAAAACGGAAAGACATCGAAAAACAATTGCCCGTTTTCTTGGAAATAAATCTTATAGAATGAACGTTAAAAACGAAAATTAACGTGTAATTACTGAGACAGACCACAGCTGAACACACAAAGAAGCATCCAACCCCCACGATACCTCCTTCAATATTTAAAGATTAAATTAATAAATCGTAATTAAATTGGTGTTAAAGGGGGAAAATCAATAAAAGGTTGATTAAAAAAGCACCCAGATACCGAACATGTGGATCTTAGTGCCTATGGCAGATTTTTTACCGAAAATATCGGCCAATTTGGAAGCTATTTTATTGAAAATCAGGGAGCATATTTTGTGGAAATAATATGTCGTGATATCAAAAATGGATAACATCGGTTCAATGCTTCTCTTAGCCACCATGTACAAAAAAAAAAGATTCTCGATTTTCCGGATGACTTTATATCACATATACCGCACAATGTGTTACGTGGAATATCTTAAATAAATTAAGAGAGCATTTGTTTCTAGTAAGAGTATGTCCTTGTGCCTTAAATAGATAAAATCGGGTCAATCTTTCTATAGCCACCAAATACGCGATATAGGAATTTCAAAATTTAGGTTGAATTTATAGCGTATATATTGGCCAACAAGTAAGATGTCCTAACAAAATTAAGTGAGCGTATAATATAACTTAATACCGAATATGTTTGGAACTCGTCCACGAATTACCCAATGCGCATATACTTTAAATAATTATTTTCATTATTCTAGCAAACGTTATTCTATGCCGAATATGTCGATCAGTGTGTGAGTTATCTTTAAACAAATGCTTGGAACAATGTTATCAAGTATACAAGAGTTAGGAGAAAAGTTAATGCAATCTCTCCAGTTCTTCTTCAAGCCCCAATATACACGATATAATAATTTTCACTTATTTTTATATTTCATCTGACTTCAAACCATTCGCCAAAATGTGTGATATTTTAACGAACCGCTGAACCTTATATCCGTAATATATTAACTTCCGATTATTTGGTTGCCTTTTTTCTCATATGCCCAATATAACTACCATAAATTAAGCCCTTTGGTTGAGGTTTTATCAACTCAACATGAACGAGATATGAGTTAACTAAGTTGAATTTATTTCAGACACGAATCAAAGTTGAGCAATGAAACTTGGTAAAACTAAGAGCTTAAATATAACATATGTTTATAAGATATATTAAATTTGATTGTAATCCATTGGATTCTTCGAATAATGCAGTTTGAATTCTTACGCGACATTTTTATACTCTCGCAACATGTTGCTACAGAGTTAACAACGTTGTTGCATGTTCTCTGCTCTCAGTTTAGTGTACACGCATTTTACGTTCTCTGCAATCATGCACAATTGAAGCAGTTTGAGTGCCAGTGTAAACAATGCCTCCGTTTACAAAAACAGCTGTTAAATTCATTTTGCGTAAAGTTTGCTTTCTGATTAATTTAAATAAACTGCCGCAATGAGTTCGGTTAACTTTGAAATACGTTCAAGACCGGAAAATTAAATATATAAAATGAAGGTGTAAGTAAATAAAATACCGTAAATATATACTTGTAGATAAAAAATATCAAAGTGTTGAAAACTTTTCAAGAACTACTAAAGGTTGCGTGCATATCAATTGGAACACGGAAGCTAGTCAATTTACAGCTATGTAAGTACAAAAAACGTCGTAGTTTTTAATGCGTTCTACAACTCTGTGAAACCAATAACACACTTGAATGCGCCGGGTAAATTGGCTGCGACTGACATCGACAGGGGTGAGTTTCAATATTTCCAAAGACTGCAAAAGAACTGGATTCGACCTAATGTTGTGTGACACAACAGAGGTGTGTTTATATGCAAATATTTATTATATATTACTAATATACATATGTATGTATATATATTTTTAATTTTCAGTTAACTCATTTAACAGTATAGCACACTGAAGAAGCTATAAAATCAATTAAACTGTAGCTGTGACTGCACGTCGGGATATTCGAAAAATGCAACAGTAATTTAAACTTTCAAATTACAGATGGAAATATTTAACCGAAGCTCGAAATACCTATATATATGATTCAACCACGCCTGCCTACTTGTCCGACATTGATTACTAAGAACTTTTAATCTGGTAAATTTGTTAAGTGCACAAATGGCTTAAAGTTTCTAATTTAAATTGATTTTCAGTTTTTTAGAGTTTGCATTAAATTTTCTTGTAATGATGACTACGCAGTTACCGAACATTTTCAAATTATCTTAAAACACACAGAATCAGAGTGTGACAGATTGAGTTCAACTAATATTTAAAATACAAAACTTGATATTTTCATGCATACCCAATTCAAATAGTATCAACCTTAATACAAAAAATTATTATATACAAGTATAAAGGAAGAAGAAAAACAGCATAAATACGACTACATCTAAATTATCACTGAAATTTATAAAAAAAAAATCATTCCATATTTATTTCAAGCATATTATGGATGCGTAAATCTGTTCCAAGGTCACTAGGTAAGTCCTCATAACAAATATAACATATACAACAATATTAACAAATTTATGCTATAGATTAAGGTGGTTCAAAAAAAATAGAGTTTTTACGTTTGGTCCTCTGAAAAATATTCCTATATTTTTCTTATTAGATTTATTTCAAAAAAATGCATATCTCGCTTCCATCTACTTGAAAGTATATCTCGTTTCACAGGTAAAAATTAAATGCTTTACAAAATGCGATATTTTCGTCCTTTAAAAGATATTAACAGTTGAAATTTGATCATTTTAATTCTAATGAGTTTTACAACTCAGTGATTCCTTATCCCTTACTACCCCCAGAATAAATTGTAAAAGTTTGGACCTTTGTGGGGCTCTAGACTGGGCCAACCACTAAAAGAATATATTAGAGTGATTCAAAATTGTTTGATTTCATAAAAAACCTATACTTCTAACCATAAAAATTCAAAGAGGGCACATTTCTTCACATTTCCTTTTATTTTGATTTATTGTATTCTTTTTACCACAAATATCCGTTTACAATGTAAATTTTACAATACACAATAGTTAACAAAAAGATAAACATAGTAGTTTTTTCTCAAATTTTACACACAATTACAGCTTTTTCATCTATGTTTTGTATGTGTGTATGTTTGTTTGTATATAATAATGGTAATTCTAGTAGCAAATGTACGCGGGGCACAGTATGCTCTGTTGTTGGGTTTCAAACCGAAAGTAGCTTGGGCAGCAATGGCCACAAATTCGAATACAGCTATGTACATACATACATATATAAATTAACAGCTCAATATTGTTTGGAAACTGTAACAGTCAACCGTTGTATATATTAAAGTAGCTATGCAGCTCATACAAATATTCTAGACTGCATGATTTTTGGTTTTTGCTTGAGTTTCATTTATTTTTCGTAATTTATTGTTGTTGTTTGTTTGTTTTTTGTTTAGCACTTGTATTTTTGTTTTTGTATTTCTGCAGCCGTTTTTTTTATTGGAATACTTATTATATATTATTATATATGTATGACTTTATGTGTGTGTGTGTGTATGTGCGAGTGTTTATGTATGCCTCTGCATATTCCAAAATATGGTTTGAATCTTTCTATTTATACTATTTTGTTGTTAGTAATATTTTTTTGCTTCTCACTTTGCTTTGAGTATATTTCCATGAAAATATATGTTTGTATGTATGTTTGCTGGTAATGCTTGTGAATAAATATATATGTAGATATTTAGTTTTCGCACCTATGTATTCCAAATATCATTTATGTTTGTATGTATGTAATTTGTATGCTTGTAAATATTCACTTGTATAATTTTTGTAAATATTCTTCAACAGCTATTCTTAAACTTAACAACTCTCTATTTCATATTCACTTGTATATTTGTTTTTGTTTTTGTATTTCTTTCAAATTCATGTTACATTGAATCGCTGCTAGCACGTCTTTAGAAACTGCAAGCTGCGCTAGCTTAAATTAGCTGACAACAACAACAACTGTCAATGTGCTTTACAAAATAGGCAATGTACATACATATATATAATTATTTATTAAACTTCTTAGTTTTGGTTGAATGAAAATAATGTTTTATGTATTTTTTTTTAATTTTGTTTGCATCTGATCACTTTGGCTACTTCAATTTATTTTGTTTTGCTATATTTGAGTCCAGTTGATCACTTAAAAGTCTGGTTTATCTTTATTTCGCAGTTTTTCAATTCTTGAAAACAAATGAACAGTTTTCACTGCCGTTAACTTATTAACAAATTAAAAAAAAATATATTTTGACGTGACAATTTTCGATTGAAAATTATGACGCTTTTCAAAAAATAAGGTAAAAAATAAATATTTTTATTAAAAAAAAATACCTTGCATTTGAGACACAAAAAGGTAGGTTTACTTAAGGAGCATCCAACAAAACTACAAGCTTACAACATAGCGGGATATACGATTTGCTATCTTCAAGGAAATCTTGGAAACAAACGCTGAAAGTTTGAGTTACAGTTAGAAAGATAGTCAATTTGAGATGTTTTTGATTATGAGGATTCAGAAGACTTTTTAGAACTTGTTTTCAGTCAAGATATTTAAAATATATATTCTTTTTTTACTAGAGTCATTCTTTTTTAAGTAGTCATGAGTTATCTCACAAAACCATTTTCAAAATAAAAAAGCTTGCAGTAAAAAGTTGTTTGAAATTTTCAAGTGATTAATTGTGGCTTGCCAAGTTTCTTTTAAAACCAAATTCAGCAATTTAAATAAATTTTAAAAAGCAAAGTAATGTAAAGCCTAAATTTTTACATGAAAAACCCTCTATAGTCATTTATCTAGATTATTCATTTAAAACAAACAACCAATAATACGATGCCAAAACCAAACATTTGAATATCGAGAATATATAAAATAGATAAAACCAACGCAATAAATATCCCTAAGAAAACGTGGCCTACATTTGCGCGCAAAGATAAAACCCGAACAGCACTTAAACAATAACAAAAAACAAACGTAAAGTTTCCAAACCAAATGGTTAAAACGTAAAGCTAACGGTGTTTTATACGAAAAACGTTACTTATTATTATATTGACTCACAGTAGATATTAATAGTAACCGTTACGATCTGTTTTCGCACATATTATATGTATATCTGCTGGCTCTGCTTTATAAAAACCTTTTTAAGCTCAAATAGAGTTGTAAAAATAAAAAACTGTAAATATGCGCATGTGTTTGTGGTTGAGTTGAGTGAAATATTTCTGTTCGTTATGCATAGTCTACTTTTAGGCAGCTCAAAAATTCACCTGAGAACTAATATCGTAAAGATTCAAGAGCTATGCGAATGGAAATAAAAAGAGTCGCGCGAAATTTTCGAATTTTTCGTTTTCAAAATGAGTGAAGTTCTTTTCTTTAGTACATTTGGCTAACACTTACTGCTAAAAATCTACGTACAACAAATTTGTCACCATATTCCTAATATTTTTTTCTTGTTTAAACACACACATAAATGCAAAATGCTTTTCGAACGCTATCACGATGAAAGAGAGATCTAATAGTAACATGCTTTTTAGTCATAAATGTTTTTTTCGCTAAATTTTAATTGAATTATGTATGTTTGTATTGGTTTTTGAAAAACATTTTCTTATTTTTTTTTTTAATTTTATATATATGTACCATACTTTGCTTAAAAGAGCGGTAATTTCACAAATCTAGCAAAACAGCCTGTTTTATTTTTATTTCTATGAAATTTTTTTTTCTATAGTTTTTGATTAAATACATATGAGCTGGTAGTTTTCGATAAATGGAAGTTTTCAAAGACATTTTAAGCATTTCTTTGTAGTTTTTTTTTTCAATGAAAATATTTAGCTTACATATGTAATTTATTTATTTATTTTTTTTGTAAGTGTGCAACAAAGTATATACATATGTATGTATGTAAGTGTGTATAGTAAAATTTAGCGCTTAAATCGCTTTTAGATTGTTTATGCTTTTTTTAAAATTTTTTTTAGATATTTATTAGCGTAATTTGTTTCACAGTTTAGTTTTCGCATATAAATTTATATGTTTTTGTTTTTATTTTCTTTAGAAATATCCAATTAAATTTAGATTTAAGTATGTACTTAGTTAATTTGAGTGACTTTATTTATATATAGTCTAATAAATACAATTTGAACTTTGTTCTTTGTCATATGTTTATGTGTATGTATGTATATTACATGAAGGTATGTGAGTATGTATGTATGTGTTTTGTTACTAGTACTACATTTTAGTTACATATATGTATGTATGCATTTATGTAAATATGTTCTTCTATGCTTATTTGTTTCTTTTTTTGCATTAAAATTTATAACTTCAATTTCTCAAAAATACTTTTTGAAGCATTATTTGTTTTTTTGTTGTTCTTCTTTTTGTTCTTTTTGTTTGCATAATTTGTTCAAAACTTCATTTATTTTTTGTTTAAATCCATTTAACATAGTACATACATTTATTATTGTATTTAGGTAGATTGAAACACCATCATACAACAGGAGGAAACAGTCTTTCTAGCCAGGTACCTATAAGATGCAAATACAAAGTAGTCTTTCAATGCATTTTCTGAAATAAAATAATTCAGTTATAATATTGTGTTTGGGTGGTGTAAATTATATATTACAAGGGACATGTCTATTTTAAATAACTAAAATATATTTTTGTAAAAAAATGTAATACAACGGTGTCTTGGGATCACTAGTACCTTTTACGATGTTATTTTTTCTCATCTAGAGCTACATCTGAAACTCTGTAACTCAAAAATATTAAGGGGATCGTCTTGGCCACAGTTTTTAAATTGCAGGATTTTTGCATTTCGTGCAATCTAGCAAGAGCCAGAGGGTGTCCCTATTAAATTTTTATTAACTTAAACTCAAATAAATTTACCATCGTTGCTCTCTTGAAAAGATATATATTACCTCGCTTTTGTGGAAACTTTAAATATTTTTTGCTGTTCTCTCATTCTTCAGAAAACTTGGGTTTGTCACAGCTTTCTTTTATCATACAATATATTATAAATTCTTTAAGGCTATGTTAGCTCACTTCAACCGTTGACAACTTCAGCGCATAACTTAGAAATTTCCAGAAAAATTATTTTAATTGCAAATACAAATAGTTATTGAAAATCGTAAGGATTGTTCTTCAAATAAATTATTGAAAAATTGTTGAAAAAATTTGCTAGGTTGAAAACAGTGCACGTTGTTATGAGCATCGACGGAACATGGCTCTGGTCGGACTTAAAATACAAAAGTTTTCATAACCTTCCTCTTTAAAAATCATATTGTTTCTTATTTTTAAGACTTTGAAAGAGGTTTTAAGCAAAAAACATGTATATTTTTTTATAATTTCTCGAGTGAGAGTTGATAAAAAGGTTTCTCAAACGGACAGAACATTAAAGAATATTTTTTGCCTCAGCCAACTGACCTCGCTTTAGCTATCTGAATGCGTTAAAATCCGTCATACGTCAGCTCGGTTGTTGTAGATCTCAAATTCAGCTTTTACCGAATAAGAAATGTATTTGGTTATTATCGTAATCAATTTTAATAAACCGAAAAGAAAAAAAATTTTAAAATATATACAATTTTTAAATATCCGAAAATATTAAAAAAAATAATTCATATTAAACTTTTTTTCTGTTTCAGATTATTCTAAAGGTAAGTGAAGATATAAATACATTGTGTTCAAAAAATTGGATAACATATAGCTGAATAGACTCAATATATACGAGTCTATATTGCTGTATTCATACGGACTAAATTCAGATTATATAATAATTTTTTTTTTATTATCATCCGTTTAATCTTAGACTGTTGGCTGTCGATGTATAATAATTCGTATGACCCTGGAATATTGCTATGGAACCGCTACATTCTCTATTTTTATCCAAATCTTTCAGAACATTAGTTTATATCTCTATCGCCATGTCTGGTTAATTTCATTCAGTTTGAATGCTTAATTTAAGTTCTCAACTGAATAGTCTCGACAACAGCTATAACATTTTATAAGCCTGACTAATTACGTCCGCTTTTGAACTCGAAAATTATAGAGACAATTAGAATTGGCATAAATATCTTAGAAAATAAAATAGAATCTTAGAAATTTTGAAATCCTCTTGTATATTTTTGCAAGGTTGCCAAACAAAGTTTTTGCTAATTATGTAAAATCCAAAAAATATATTATTATTATAGATGAATAAGGGTAATAATTGAGTAACTTATCTAAAATTTGATTTTTCACAAAATGGCGGCTTGCCATGAATAAAACTCGATATTATGAAAATTGTATTTCATGGATCATTACCTGACAAATATTTATATTTATATGAAAGAACGTCGTGTAAAAGTTTCAAGTCGATCAGTTCATTTGTTTCAAGATCAGACTTTCTATCATTTTTGGTATCTAAGAATCTCTATATAATATGTCGTTGAAATTTTCGACAACTATTTTATAAGAAATACTTTAAAGGCACCTAATATTTTCAACTGAAGTAGTCAAAATTTGAGTGTTTTGATGTTCTTATCATATTAATATCGTTTATATTGACATTCACTATGTTTAGTGACTAATCTAATATAATTTACTAAGCTAACTCTTCTAACAATCGTCTTCACCGAATTCTCGCACTTTACTTACGTTTCGAAAATAAAGTAACGATCCGAGTGTTATATTATATGGTACATGTAAAAAGTTGCATTTGTCTAATAATATCTTAAACTATAGTCTACTTACCTCGTGACACATTAGGCGTGATTTCGTAAATATTTTCTATACAATTCTTTGCATTATTTGCATTCGTTACTGTTTGAGTTCTAGGAGCAAGGCTCTACTAAGTAATCGCAAATAAGTGGGTGGGTTAGTGTACAGTGCTGTACTCCCTTACGCTTCATCACAATTTAACTCTAAACTTCTGCACACTAGGTGAAGCCTTTCTTTTCATATATATACTATATTTTTGGTACATATATTATTGTATATATCTATGTTGTAGTTGTATAGGTATGAATAGTATAGATAGTTAAGCTTTATTTTATTACAGCTGATATTTCTTTCACATCCTTTGACTCTTCATAGATATACAAATATGCAAGTGTATGATGAGTAGTAAATGAGCACTAAACTGGAGCGCTGACTAAGACTAAGCTCTATGCTCTTTGTATTTCTGGAGGGGAGGAATTACTCGTACTAGTTTCATTATGTCTAAGCTAAATGCCGCTAAAGCGTTTCTCGTTAGACGTGTGGCATGCGGGCGGGCGGATATATAGAGACGTCCTTGATGGAAAACACGAGCGCGCAAATTTTCTAACATTTCAGTTCTTCTCTTGTTGTTATTGTTTTATTTTGCTTTCACTTAGCAGCCGTCAATGTTGGACGTTATTCTATGCAATTTCAGTTATTTTTGTATACAATTTTGCCTTGTACTGCAAGTTGCGTTCGCGCATGCGCAATTTTGGAAGTTTTATGAAGCTCGCTTTCTTCTCTTTTCTTTTTGTTTCATGCTTTCTTTTAGTGTAGATTCAGATAGGTTTTCCGTTTAAGGTAGCCACTGCGTATGGGTGACGATAGTCCGGTTTCGTTGCTATTGTTGTTGGGTTTTGTTTTTATTATTTGCAGTAATATATTATTATTGTTGTTGTAGTTGGTAAAAACACAGTGTTGGTAATTGATTTTGATGATTTATGCAGGCGATGGGGTAGTTACATATTGGTTAGGCATATGCATATGCGGAGTGATGAAAAGGAAGATAGCACAAAAGATAAATTTAAAAAAAAAGAGTTCATTGAGTATAAAAGCTTAAATGGCATTTAGTGGTGGATTATAGAGCTATAGGCGAAAAATATATAAGTAAGATTTTGCCAATTAAAAATAAAGTGGTAAAGTTTTGGTTTGGTAGAAATATATATATATTAGTTTTTTGCACAACAACAATTTTGCTAATTAGAAACTGCTATTTTGTGAATGATTTTAATTATAATTATTTTTTGTTGGCCTATGTGATTAAATTTTTATTTTTTTTTAAATTTAGATTTTGGTTTACATAAATTCGGGTTTAAAATTTTAATATAAATTTATTTAATTTTTTCTTTAATTTTTAAATTTTAAATAACTATATGATTTTAAATTTTTTTTAAAATAATTTAATTTTTTATTATTATATTTTTTAATTTTGTTTTATGTTTTTCTTGAAAACACTAAAAGCTCTTAATTTTTATAAATAATTATTTAATTTTTTTAGTTTTGGTTAGTTAGTTTAAATTTTTTAATTATAATTTTTAAATTTGGTGTACGTATTTATTAAATAAGTTCCGTCGTACATCTTTTTAAAAAATTATTTAATTTTTTTTCAATTAGTTTAAATATTTTAATTACAATTTTAAATTTTGCTTTATGTATTTCTTAAATACGTGCAATCGAAATAAAAACTATTCATCTTTTTAAATAATTATTTACTTTTTTAGTAGTCTTTTAATTACTTTAAATTTGCTAATTTTTTTTTTAATATTGATTTATATATCAGTTAATGTATTAAATACATGCTATCAAACTAAAAACTTTTAATTTTTTAAATAATAATTAATTTTTGTTAATTAGTTTAATTTTTTAAGTATATTTTTTTTCTTAATTTTGTTTATGTGTTTCTTGAATACGTGCTTTTCTATTAAGATCTAAAATTTTTTTAAATAATTATTAAGTTTTTTTAATTAGTTTAAGTTTTTTCATTATTACTAATTTTAATTATTATAATTTTGTTTTATATATTTTTTAATACCTGTTATCGAACTAAAAACTCTTTTTAAGCGCAAAAAAGCCAACATTTACCATTTTATTGTGTTTTGATTTATTTGCTTGTTGCTTTGTTTGGTTTTTCGTTAATTTGTTATGTTAGTACTTTGGAAATTCCATTTCACAAACTATAGTTTGTTGGTGAATGCGTGATTAAGGTGTGTCATACGCAGTTTACATTAAAGCATCCGCTTGCTCATGCAGCCTAAATACACAAGAAACAGCACACAAATATTTTGAGGTAAGGATGGAGATGGTGTGGTGTAAGAGGTGAGTGTGGAAGCAAATAAAAGCAAAGTGAGAAATTGTGAATTTTTTAACAAAAAATTAAATTTCATTATTTAAAAAAAAATTTAAAGTAAGTGAAATTTATAATTGTTTTGGTGTTATATATGTTGGTGGTGGTTATTTGTTTTCGGTTTTTATTATCAATTTTGTTGGTTTATGGATATTTGGTGGTAAAAGCGTTTGCAGTGTCCATTTCAAACACATTTTGTATCAGGCAAACGAAAGTCAATGATCAGAAATGAAATCCAAAGAGAAACATTATAAAAAAGAAACATTTCATAAATTCAAATTCGATAATAATTTTCATTTGCATGGGTTAATCATTAGTAAATACATAATATATACATATTCATATACATGTAATTAATTACTACATATATAACAATAAATCTAGATATGTGTTAGTGTATAATTGATACTAAAGGTTAATATTTTTCGTAAAATAACAGCATATGTTTATTAATAAATATTTATAATTATAATATTTTTAAAATGAAGCAAATAAATTCCTCAAATTTGCTTGGTTAGTAATTTGCAGTATGCGTGTGCATATACAATACATATACATCGATATTATCAGCATAGCTCGAAAATTCACACATCAATGCACATATATATGTATGTATGCAGATTAGTAGCTTAAACGCTTGAGTTTTAGTTTCGTTCGTCTGTGATTTGCTCATATGTGTTGCTGTTCAACCAAATGTAATCGTTAAAAATAAAAAGAGAAACGAAATTAATTTGTGTTAATTTGCAGTTTTGCCTTTTCAAAACACAACCAAACAAAAGCAATTTAGAACTTAAATATTAATTAAGTTTATTTTCATTAATAAAACACGAAATAATTGAAAAAGTTCAAATGAAAACACAACGCAACAACAGATAAATTATGCAGTATACATATGTACTTACTCACATATAAATTTACTAATGCACATATACATACATACACATAGTTCAATGTATACACCTGTGTGCATATTAACGGTACAACTAGTGATGTGATTTATGTGTAGAAATTGACATGGTCACAAAAAAATTTAAGCTTTAATTCGTTTAATAATAGTCAAATGAGCAGCCCGGGACGTATCAGTAACATTTAAAGTGGCTTCTGACAGTAGGCACCAGAATTTCATTTCAATACGTCAATACGTGGTAAAATGGGAAGCTTAAAATCAAATTTGGTAATAAAAAAGTTTAAATTATGTGTTGGTAATGTAACGTTTTGGGCGTCTCAAATATAAAAAATAATTCTTCGAGGAACTTGTATACGAGTATAAAAAATCGCCTTCAGTGCCTGGTGTAGTTTTGAGTCTGTGTTCAAATGGGTCATATGATATATACATAAATATAATTATATTGTGTCTCTAGAGTGAACTTAGAAAATCTGTTTTTAGAGCTCGTCCACTTTTTTGTACCAAAAACCCATAACATTACAATCATTATACATCAATTATATAATATTTCAATAACCAGAACTTCATGTTTTCAAAATCAGAAACAATTTCTTTGTGACCACGCGAATACCCACTATTAATGATAGCTGAACTGACCCACAATAATTAATCTACCGATATCTTTATGAATATACCATACATATGTACATATATACAACTATTTAGTGTCACAATACGAGTATTCACTAGGACTAGAGCAATACGACACATAACACAAACTCATATACATTCACATAAACATACCTTCTACGCCGTGGATTCGAGGCCTGTCCGGGCAAATTAAAGCAACCACGTGGAATTACCATGCGTGCATTACCTTTGGCGGGACGCGAGCCGCCCACCACTTGCAGACCAGCTAAATGAGCCGCGTAACCATCGCTCAACACGGTAGCGTTCGATTGCAATTTTTTGCTAACCTGCAAATACCCAAAAAATACAAAGATATTCCACACAAAATGCTCGTAATTTAAACATACTTTGCCCACAATGAAAATCTGCTCGGAACGCAAGCCCACATTTGCATACACTGTTATGTCTTTGCTGCTACCGTAGGCGGCTACAATTGAGATTCCATGATTTTGCACTAAATTATTTAAGTAAGCGGTCTTATGACCCAGCGGATCGGTGAGTAAACCGTCAGCGAAAGAGATTAGACCATGCGGAAAATTATGCTGGCTTAACCAAGATACTACACGTTGTTGTTGCATGTCTGGACGTCCCGTAATATAGATCAACAAATAGCCCAACTCTTGCCAATGGCGACAGATATCAACCGCGCCAGCCCGTACTTTCGGATCACGCCCCGTCACCGACATGGACGCCGTAAAGGAACCATCAATACTAAAGACCACACATTCTGTCATTGGTGGCACTATGGCGACATAACAGTCAACCGATGTATGATCGCCACGTACGATCATTTTCACCGGATAGATGCCATAACCTAGTGATACTTGTTCGGGTATGGTATATGTGATGCGACCATTCTTATCGGTCAACTCGGTGGCAAGGAATGTCCATTCACCGGCTGGTGGATCTTTCATTAAGTGGATATCGACTTTTTCGCCATGCAGTGTGATCATATCCAGCGGTCCATACATGAAACGTGCATTGAGACGTTGCTCGCGCCCCTCCAATACAATTACATCGTTTGCACGATGATTGGCCGCTACATTTTTCAGCTTTACTGAAGTACGTTTCTTCATCCATTTCTCTCGTGGCTGACTCGGATGGAAGGTGACTGTGTCTTTGTCGTCTGCAGAGCCGACAAATGGAATGCCATCAAACTTACCAATCTGGAAAGGATAATAGTGTATTATGATATGATAGATATCTTCGTCAAAGAGATATTAAACTATTCGATCAGTGTCATTAATCAAAGTAGATCCACCATCATTACAATATATCTTTTTCAATTAAAAGTATAGGTTCTCAGAGTTAGGTTAAATAATTTATATTTCGCTCAACAATGATTTTTTCGGGATTTGTGAACAAAAATAAGTATTATATATCCAAACTCACCTGACGTAAAACGAACGCTATGACATCCGCGCTCTCCCAATAACTGGCGTGAAATAGATGTGGCAAGGCATGAGCGGGGAAATTACTCAAACCTTCCGGGCAATACAAGGCGTAGTCTAAACGTTTTGTGCCCCACCATTTCATTTGAACTGCAAACAAATTTAAATAATTATGGCTAAATGCGAAAGAAGTATGAAAATAGTTGAAGTAAAGATACCAAGCCTTTCAGCAGTGCAATAAATAGGGAAAACTACTAGTAGTAAACATTTAATTCTGAAAGTGATTTTTTTGAGGTTTCTAAACCGGTTTACACAAGCAACTTACGTGAGTGGATTGTACTTAGCGATACATTTTCAATGAGACCAGAAATAGTACTTTGCATTGAGGCATCCGAGAGACGTCTGTTGCCCAAAATATTGTTGGCTTCGCTGAAATGTTGTGGATGGGATTGGATGACCTCCACTGATTGGGAGAAAAGTAAAAAAAATTAAACTTGAAATGGCTTATAATGTATTTGGAACTCACATAGATGATATGGCTGGCCATTGCCCAGGGGATACTTGGCATAACGCGGCACATTCACTGGCGCCAACATGGAAAACCTAGCGCTGAGCAATGGCTCCAAACGGGAAGCAATCGGATCGGTAGGATGGAAGAGATTGTACACTTGATTACAGTTCGGCCGTGCCAGCGCTGCAGAAAATAAATTACTTACAAGAGAGTTTCAGTTTGTAAGTGCCTGCGTCACTTACCCGTCTTGGCATCATGCAGCTTACGCGATGCCAATACAATGGAGAGCGGTGAACCGAACATAAAGAAATCACCAACTTCAAAATCCAATTTATTGCCACGTGAATCACTCGATGACGAGCGTCGACGTCGCGGTGATGGTGCGACCAACAGCCGCTTAGCATCTAAATCGGAATCATTGAAGCGTTCATCGTCATCGGTACGCGATGAGCGGCTGCCACCACCATCTAAACCATTGCCGCGGCAAAGCGCCTCATAGGCCAACAGCGAACCCATCGAATCACCCAGCATTACCACTTGACCGGCGAAACCGTGACCCTCTTCGGATTTGATAAATTCATGATAGACTATATTAGCTGCAGTCACTGTCTTATTAACGGTATCCTGGAATTCTGGCGATGCCACAGAAAGCAATGGTATGGCGCCAATCGGTACATCAGCTATATTTGGTATATCAACAGCCGACGGTGAGGCATCGAACGAATATGGACTAAGACTAGAGAGTATGCCCAAGGCATCGGTGCAGATGGAAGGGCATGGTACCATTTTGATTGTAACATGACTCAGCAGACTAGGATAGTGTTGCCGCATAACACCCTCAAAAGCGCCACGAAATGTGGTAATGTCTGACTTCTTGGAGGTCAGCTCGCTGGTGGCGTCTACAATTATTAAACAGAAGAATTTAATACGCAAGTGGTCTCATATTTAAAGTTAATTTTACTTACCCAAAACGCTGCCCGCGTGCACTACAAGTATTAGTATGGTGGTGGAACAGGATGGCGTGCCTGGCGAACCCGGCGGCGATGCGTCATGACTACGATCAACGCTAGCCGAGGAACGCAGCTGTCGCTTATTGCCACGTTCCGAGGCGACGCGCATTAGAAAGTCTTGATTGAAAATACTGTCCTCTTGACTGTCTTTATATGCAAGACCACTACTCGGCGGCGGACTATCGTCACCCTCACCGAGCAATTCAAGTGAGCTCCACTTGGCGAGCGAGTTGGTCTCATTGGTATCTATAAGACGCAAAAGGAAATGGTATTAAAATTGGAAACGAATGTGTGGAGCTTGTAGTAATACATACCAACGCAATCGAAGAACTCTTCATCAGAATTGGACTTGGTATCCACTTCCAGACGCTCCATACGCCAATTGGCAACCTGTAAGTGATGTTTATTAGTGAACAAACTTCGGTTTACTGCTTTTATCAAATCTAGACTTAGTTTTATTTCGAACTAGGAATTTCAAAGTAAATTTTTAGTGAACACACTAATCAAATAAATTGCCATACAATACTTATAGGAAACTTACGTTTTTATGGAGAACATTCTTAGCATGCGGCTTTAAGAAGATTTGGTTTTTGTAAAATATTAAATAAAACAATTAAATTAAATAACAGTAAGGTAAATTGTAAGAAAAAAATTTAAAATTAATGCAAGAGCAACATGGTGTTTAAAGATCTTGAAGATGGCTTTGTCGAAGAAAAATATTTTCTAAGCTACGTTATTAAGTGGGTCAGAGTTATTGCTTTTTTCATTTTCTCTGAATTCAAAATTGGTCGAGTTTGTTTATAATAAGTTTTTTTAGAACTAAAAAAAATATTTTTACGCGACTAAACCTCCGATGCGAAAACGGAAGGGAAGATCTTTTATTATAAGTTATGTCTCCAAGAGTCTAAGTCGTCGTTCTTGGAGGACTTTGCCTTGTTTAATTTGCAATCTGGCTTAGCAGTTGTTCTTCCACTTTAGTAAATCATACAGAAATTTCTGGGATAAAAGATATATATTACACCAAGCGTCTCCTATATATGGTACTTGTTGAAAATTATTTAATACAGTCTAAATGCTTTGTAAAGTTAAATGGATTGAAATTTTCGATCGTCTAACTGAGCTATAGTTTGAGCTTCAAGTTGCTTAAATCACCATACGCACAGTTTAAAGCGTGAAATAAGAATTTGACCATATAAAGCACATATACATACATACACATTACAAATATTGTAAAGCACAGAAAACACAGAAAAAAGCAATGATTTCCCGAAAGAAAGTCAACATACCTGTAAATCAAAGCTATGCGCCGAACCAACCGGTGAGTGTAGCGCTCCCTTCGAACCAAATTTCGATTTTGTCATTTGTATGCTCTGGGAGCGTGAGCGCGCGCTTACTTCTTGAGCCGCTTCCTCTTCATCCTCATCCGAGGTCCCTTCAGTACTAGGTGGCTCTTGGGTAACAATCGGTGGTGGCGCGCCACTCGACTTTCGACGTTCACTGCCCGTGCTGCCAGTAATTGGTCGGCCATGCAAGTCCGCCACGCTGTCAGCTAAAAGTAAACGATAAATTTTCAAACTCATAATTAGATGAATAACTTTTTAGCTCCTTAATGCTCATACCATCTTCCGCATCACTTTCGCTTTCTTCGCCTCCACCCATTTTCTTCGCCAGCGCTAATTGTGTTTGTCGCTCGATCTCACGTATATCTTCAATTGTCAAACCGAACCATTCATCTTGCCAAGCCCACGCTTGCCGATGTGCGCGCAGCATTGTTTTCCGCAATGCTACATCGTGTATGAATTTCTCCAACTTCGTTTGCATACCCCAATAACGAAATTCGACGCGACAAATCTTATAAGCGCACATAAGCGACATATTGCGGCCGGTGGGTTGCTTCTTGCCCTTAACTTCGCGCCAATACTCCTCCAGCCATTCCTCGCCCAACGGACCACGTCCTGTCTTATCAGATACAAAGAGTTTAGGATCCTCCTCTTTTGCATAATCACCGCCATATAGCTGATCCTTCACTATATCGATGACGTCTGTAGAGGTAGAAAGAAGAAAATTGTAAATAAGGGTATATACTTGCATACATATGTAGATCCGTTGTTTCAGTACTGTGGTAGAGGCTGTATATATTAATTACAAGTATCTCGAAGCAATCTTTATATAGTGCAATATAACTTTTGATGGTTATTATTATTATCGTATGGAAGTACTCGAGCTTATCTCAAGGGGGTTTGGGACGTACAAAATACGTTTAGTGTTATTAGCAGCTAAACTTAATATTGTCAGTCAAAAAGAGAACAAAATAAGATCTACCCGTTTATTGATTGCTCACTGAGCTCAGAAGTGTCACCCACTGCTTTGAGTTTGAACTTATTACACCTAATTATCTTAGAACGAATCTGAATAAAACAAAGGGATACAACTTTTTTTGTATTTTTTACTAACCATTTGACTTATTTTAGTATAATGTACTACAAAGTATTCGGTATTATCCAGCTACATTTTATATAATCTAGAGATTTTCGAGGCACATGAAGCAGTAATATTCATAATACATGTCATGTAGGACTAACCTCGATGTTCTTATTGTTGATAATGTCACAACCATTTCTTTTGGTTTTAAATAACTTGAGTGAGGTTAGGGCTAGGTTAAGAGCTCGATTCTAAAAAGAATCTTACTTTGACAGCGTTCTAGTCTGCTGTGGTACCTAAAGCTTCTAAATACTGGATCATATGACCAGAATGACCAACTCCCTAAAAGAGGCTGAAAAGGACATTTAAAAAATTACTTTTTAAACTTCATTCCCTTAGGTATTTCATCCAGCATGTTATTTGAATGCCTTTGAGTACTAAAATTATCAATTCCAAGTACTTCGCCGGTACTCAGGAATCTTACTTTACACTTAATGCATTTCTTTTTTCAACTCAAAGTTGGTCGTCGTAACAGTTAGTCGTTCCGAATATTAGAATTAATTTATGAGTGATGAGTGGTGCCTGTCTCCATTTATCAAAGAACCAACATATAAATTATTCAGTTGTCTAATGTCTCCATTCCAATTAGTTTCCTCATTTGTCACAAGTTGTTGATTATTGTTTGAAGCTGGTTACTCATAATCGTTAGTAGTCTCTACTACTCTTCCTCTAACCATAATCATCCAACAGTTGCCACGCCATTCTTGATTAAGTGCAGATTCATATATTCTATATTTAGTTTTATTATCACTTACCCACAATACGATTTCGCAAATCGCTGCCGCTCAATTTGAACACATTGTCCTGATAACCGTTATCCGGAAAATAATAAGTTTCAATATCGAGCGAGAATTTCTCCACAAACGGACAGGTATAGCGCGTGCGAGTATATGGATAGGCATTCCACGCCTCCTCCTCCACCGTCAAAGCGCTCTTCGGCAATAAACCTGTACGATGAAAAACAAGCGTTCCATAATTCAGCATGAATACAAGAAATACGCCGCAGTAAGCGAGTAATTAGTGGTGGCACTCATTGCATTTAATTGAGTAGTTCACTTAATTGCCATTTAACTCACTTTTTATCCAACCGGGTAGATGGCTGCCAACATGATAGATTTTCTTCGTGTACTGTCCATTGCCGCCGGGACCATCTTTGTAGGGTTCATTAATGATAATTTCAACACCGCTGCCCTCACCATGACTCTCCTCGCGACTTTTTTTCTATAGATATAAAGCAAAGAGTGCAATAATGAATATGGCATGGCAGAATATATAATTGAATAAAATAAAATGATTTATAATCGCTGTTCTAGTGTTTTGATTGACTTCACCGCTATTGGCAGTCATTAGAGCCGCGCAACACGCGCACACCGCTCTCTCACTTACCGCTATCATATACAGCTGTGCGATGCGATATTCCTCCACCGTTAATGGCAAGGGTATACGGTATTCTTTTATTAACATCTTGTTTTGTTGCTCCGGCTTGACGTTCCTCAAAAGATGAACTCATATAACGGGCAATATTTGGGGATGTCCTGTTGGATGTTGATCTAAATATAACTTTTAATTGACTTAGTTGGTTTTTATTGCCAATGCAGTGTGTTTGCAGACATTATTTTGCATGGTGTTGCGCCTAAAAGTAGAGGCATGCTTTTCACTTTCCTTTTGTTGCTTTGCAAAGGGTTGACGTAGAACACTGCAAAAAATTGGGAGATATTTTGACTGCCCATTAGTATTTTGTTATGTTAGTTAAAACAGCATAAATCAGTCAAATATATATAGATAAATGTATAGATTGTTATTATGTTTTCTTTTTGCATTTTTGTGAGAAAATTTACTATATTAATATACAATATGTATATATTTTTTATACTATCAGAATGTGGATATTTCAAATAAAAACCTAAAGCCTAATGACTTTTTAAAAAACTCTGAAAATTTGTCGTGAGAATTTTCGATTGAAAATTACGGTTTTTTTTCGATTTTTAGTCGAAACAAGGTTTTTTCTTAATATGTTAAATAAAAACAAAGTGTCTTTGGGCATTAGAAGGAAAGTTTACACAAATTTTCGTGAAAGAAGTTTGGTTTTCTACAAGATAAAAATACCCAAAAACTTAGATATTTGAATTTTTTTTTCATTTCCTATAACTGCCATATAACTTTGTTCCATAGGAGTCGTAGTTTTGCCGGAAATCGTCATACACCGGTTTTAAATCTTAAAAACTCAACCACACCCGTCCCCTTCCTCTATCTTGCTATGATTTTTTTCGTTTTCAAAAATTATCTTCCCTGGTCTATGCCATATACTTGTAGTTTCTTGTATCGTTTGATACCTCTTCTGTAAACTTTTGAAAGCGAAGTTATATTATTTTGCAATTGCGGTGATAATTGAAGTGCTATAACCGTTCTTCTAACTATTATTACTAGATTATGCCATTTTATGTAATTACTCTAATTGTTTGTTCGACTCGCTATTCTCTAATATCATATCAAAAGTTTGTTTCATTAAACGATGTTTCTCATTCATAAAAATTGCCTTTTATGATATTTTAGATGAAAAATAGTATTCGCTTTTCGAACTCAAAATATAAGTTTACAAACATTTCAAAAATATTCTAAAATATACATATTTCTAATAATTGTTTCATAGTAAAAAAGCAATTAACCGCTATTGATTTCGAAAAAACATTTGCATACTTGCATGTGTCTAAATTTTCATTTCCCAAAAAAAAAAATTGTTTTGTTGCACATATGCATAACATTAGCAAAGGAATATATTATATAAACAAGTTTAATGTATGTAATCACAAAGAAAAATCATCGAAAAACAAAGTGAAATATATTTTAGTAAATTAAATTATTAGTTTAGAAAAAAAGAAAAAGACAGATTAAATGTTAAGGATAGGGAACGAAAGTATTAACTCTGTAAAATTTTGACTAATTCGAGCATACCTCGTACTTCTGTTTTCAGAATTAAAGCCGTGACTTAGCTCTGAACGAAATATGAAAGGAATTAAGATATTAAATGTATCATATATTTGAATAGAATTATATATTGGACAAAAAATTCATACAACAAACTGATGACTCATCAAATACTCTCCATACAATCATTACCAAATCAGGTAGTTTTCAAATATCTAATATCATAAAAACGTTTACGCATCGTAGACCAAAGTGAAGGTCAACGGTAAATGTTCGAGGCGTAACGCCAAAAAAAAATCCTATCATTTTGACGAGCTTTTACAAGCACATTTTCAGTTTGTCTATAAATTTACATTATTTGATGCAATGGTGTGAAGTAAATATTCAGTGAATTAAAACAGAAACATTTCTGAATAATGACTATTTTGCATTTAGTATGGTATGTATGTGTGTATGGGTGTGTGACGCAAAATGAAATATTTGTTTGGATTCACATCACTCTTATTTGAAGAAGTACATATGTACATTTGTAGCCATTTTATGACAGAGTACAAATTTCACACAAATTTAAGAATCGACAGAAACAACAGAGTTACAATTTATTGTTGGACTAAAAATATAAAGATTATATTATATATGTTGGAGGAAGACCATATTTACATACGGTGTACTTGTAACGAGAAATAGATCTATATTTTGTGCCATGCAAAAAATTTTAAGGTGCTGAAAAAGAGCTTCTTAACTTACGAGAGCGTTAAGTCTTAAGAGTTTCACAGATATAGTTTGTCTTATAAATGTTTTACAATTTAGCACTCATTTTCTCCACCAATCAGTCAGATTGCAAATTAAAGATATTTTCTTCGTTAATTGACTCCTCGTTTTTTTAACGTGATATGTGGTGTGATTCAAATGTAAAAGTTTTCCGTTCAAGCTATTGATTCCGATCGTTCAGTTTCGTTCGTATTAGTTCGCATATATAAAGACAGAAGGACAGACCGACAGATAGGCGGACATCGCTAAATCGACTCCGCTCGTCATGCTGATCATTTATATGTACATATACTTATAATTTATAGGGTCTCCGACGCTTGCTTCTGGGCGTTACAAACTTCGTGGCAAACTTAATATTGCACACCCTTCAAAACTCTATAGTTGACTAAAGATGTTTCCACTATCATATCAAATGAAAAATTATGAATACTATTTACTTTTTGCATATATGATTTGTATTATTATTTTTAAGGTTTCCTTTTTCTAACCTCACACACGTTCCACTAAAAGCATTTACAACCCAAAACAAATATTAATTAACAAACAATTAAGTAGTAATAATAGCGGACATCAAGAAACAAGCAAAAATTATTTTTATGAAAAATTACTCTCGCTTAAAAGCCGTATTGTGTTGCCAAAATTTGTTGGCAAAACTGTCAATTAATCACCGGCGGACACAGAAAAAAATGACAAAACGAGAAAGAATATTACTGTTTTTATAATTTTGCCGTCAATGGAGCAAATAATTCAAAAGAAGCGCACATACAAACATATATATCGTCACCTAAAATACAAACTAACGTAACACCACTTTTTAAGATTTTGGAGAAGAAGAAAAAACAAATCAAAATAGAAAATACTCATATTGAAACGAAATTTAACTTTTGGTTATAACTTGGTTATATTTCATAGCAGAGGCTTAAAATGTTGTATTGTACTTATGTTCATTCTATATGATGTGGTTCGTATTCAAAGAAAAAATTCAATTTGGATTACATTTACGATACGTTGTTTTGCATTTCAGGTGATGGCATATGTAGGTATATGTATATGTAAGTATATACACATATATATATATTAGTATTTGTTTATAAAAGCACTCGTAATCAATGGAAGATTGCTAAGCACGCCTTTATACATTAAAATAACATTTATCGCAGAAAAAATAAACAAAAACCCATTAAAATTCCATAAGTGCAGATTTTTTTTTTCTACATTTTAATCGCTTCTAAATTTCACCGAAGAAAAACCTATTAATTTGCCTAAATCTAAAAAAAAAAATTCATAAAATTAAACATAGGAATTTTTTATATCAATGAGTACAGGTATATACGTACATTAGAGCGGGTTGATTTGCAAAAAAAAATTAAAAATCGCGTATGCGTGAAATATTCTACGGATCATTCTGAACAACTTTACCTAAGAGACTATGGGTGTAAAACCGATTATTCTGCGGTTGCCTGCCTTTGACAAAAAAGCTAAGAGCTCATAATTTTGCAGAACTGTTCTCTAATACATACTTAATAATGACAAAAAAAATTGAAAAGTAGTAACGTACATAAATGGTTGCGCGTCAACAATACGTCAATTAAAAGTTTTTGCTAATTTAAACTGTTTTTACTTCCTTGAAAAATCCCTTTAACTTCAAAGCTATAATTTCTTTGGTTGTGGAAAACAACATTTGAATATATACATACAAACACACATATATATAAGTATGTATATTTATGTACATATGTGCGCCCATAAAAATTCAGTGCAACACAATTCACAAGAAAACGCTTGTGGTTAGCATTTGAATAATAAATTAATTAGATTAGTGTGTAAAGAGAATACCTTTAAGACATTATAAAATCGCACGCTACAAGCTAGAGGCTACAAATCTCAATAACAATGACAAAGTGTGATGTAACATATATATATATATCATAGCAGTGCAATGAAAGTCCTTATATAGAAAATACTGGTACTAATTTACGCCAAATTGACTAATGAGTACGAAAACTGGGTACCGGAAGCTTTCCTCGGAAGCAATTGTTATAAAATATTGGTTTGATTTAAATTTGCGAGTATCGAAGAATATATATTCAATATATATTTTTTAATATCTTGCACTCACACTAACTAGAACTGTACCTCACTGAACTAGTTCTACCCTACTTTCGCGACACTTATATTTTTTGGAGTGTATGTTGCAGCAAACTAGCAAGAAAGTGGAATATCAGCAAAGACGGAAGCAAATAAGTGGGCGTTGACATGACACGATATTTATTTGCACACAAGAAATTATATATACCTTACACACATGTATTTTTAATACATAGCATAACATATATTTGCCCACCGCCCATATATATACCGCTATTCGAAGCTACCGCCAATGACTATTGTCTATTAAGACATTTTGCTACTTGGAATGTCTTCCTACACATGTCACTCATTTAATATTTACATATGTACCCGCATATTTACATAGACCGATTTACACTCGTGTATGTAAGCTTTGTTTTAAACTTAATATCACATTTCTGTGGGGAGTCCACTCGACAGCGGGCTTATCCACTTTAGCAAATACTTTGACCATCAAGCGCCTTAATGGATAATTGCTCAGGCTAGTCGTTGCATTAATGTATGTATTAGGCATATTATGCCACACTAAGTTAAGGTAATACAGCAGAGATAAAATCCACTTAATTTTCATACATTGCGGGTACAAATATTTATTTTTGTGTCATGGCAAATTCGAACGTTATATGAAATGTAGGAATAAATGCTACTGATAATCGCAGATAATCATCGCTTTTAGCTCGAAATAATAATATTCTTTTGGTAACTGAGCTCTGCTGGTATCTATGCAGGATTTGTAAGAATTATTTAAGAAAATCATTGAAAAAATTTAGTTCTTAGCAAACAAATTTTTTTATGTATGCCAATCAGTCACTCATCCCACTTTACGGTAAAATATAAAATAAATTTTTTATTAACATATTTAATATAAAT